ATGTCATTCGGGAATAGTGTGGCTTCCAAACAGTGAAAGATTTTTTCAAATCGGTTCAGTAGTTTCGGAGCCTATTCAATACAAACAAACAAACAAACAAATCTTTCCTCTTTATAATATTAAGTTTTTTTTTTATTGCCTTTGGAGGCAGACGAGCATACGGCTCACCTGAAGGTAAGTGGTCACCGTCGCTCATGGACGTCAGCAATGCCAGGGGCAGAGCCAAGCCGCTGCCTACCAGTATATAAGTAGATATATGATTTTAATGCATGGGAGGCGGACGTTCGAACACGTACAGGTATGACTGACTGTAAATGCCATGTCTAAATACCATATCAAAAATTTCGACAGAAAGACGTATTGCGATAAAGATCAAACTTGAATACTCTTTTGTTCGGAATAATTCTGTACGTGTCGGATACGTAGACCCAGGGGAAACTGGATCAGCTGTGAAGGAATTTTGATACTAGTAGCTAATGCTTCATACTTGTTGAACAGCATGTTGCCCCAAACTTATTATGATTAAAAAAAAATTATAACAATATTACAACTATACAACTATCTAGTGTCTGCCTGCACTGGAGTCTCAAACAACATATTGCCAGAAAGGCAGGCAACTGCCCTGATAAGCGCTGCATTACGGGTAAAGGGGAAGGAAAAAGACTCCGAGGTCGTAGACAAGTCACACGCGATCATCTGTCTCTAATCTAAGATTTCCATTACTTTGCGAATCAGTTACTTGTATACATATAGATACGTTTAAAATTATTATACACACCCACAAACATAGAGAAAACAATCATGGTCGTCACACGAATGGTGTGCTCAAAGTGGGAACCCACGCCGTCACACAACCACACCCACAAGGTCACACCTAACGTCAACCCACATCGTCAGCTCAGTAGTAAAGGTCGATCGGGTATTTTTTTAGAAATTATAAGCATACGATAGTAATAACGAAGTAATAACACAAATACAACGGTCCTTATGTTGATGGGTGAAAGGCCCGCTTGGTGTTAAGTGATTACCGCTGCCCGTAGATATCACGTCGTGAATTCCACCTATCATCTTGAAATTTAAGGTCTAAGTTTCAGTTATATTGCATGGCGGTTATAAAATATCCCTTGTAAATAAACGTTAGTTTAAAAAAACTAAAAACATACGCTTTTATAGAAAATCCAACAACAAAAATTGAAAATAAATTTTAATAAATTTGAATTAAAAATAGTGTAACAAAAAATGATTTTATTGTAAAAAAAAGCGTAGAGACACTCCGGGTCTCATGAAAACAAAAAAAACCTGATTATCCTAGTAAGTATAACGGATCGAACTGTTTAAAATATTGAATTGTCATCGGTCCTTAATAAGTATGCTAAATTTCGAGTTAGTAGGGGGTCAAAATCATGTTCAAAGATTCCGTTACATACTAACATACATACGTCTGAAGCTAATAAAAGCGTATTAAAATATCCTAAAATCGAGTAGCGTCCTGTTGACAAATCTGTTGTTGGAAAACAAAAGTTTCGCGCTCGTTTATTTTATTTGCTTTAACTTATAGGCAAACTATACCGAATACAGAATAAGCAAAATGTAAGTTTTCTAAAAACAATGGTGGGAATTTTTATGATTTATTTCGTTGTTTTTCTTGGTGATCTGAGAAGCAATACTTAGTTGTTTTGATTTAAGTTTGTTAGTGAATTTGTGAATTTCTATAAACTTCAAAGGCCTCCAGCAATTCGTCCAAATAAAATAAATGAATTTTGCATCTTAGTATTTTTATATTAAATACATATGTAAATAAAAATGAAACGGATTCATTAAGTAAATACAATAAACCGATTTCGCTTTTTCACATTCGTTGTTTTATTTTGAATAAGGTTTTTTAGAAACATCGAGTCTGTCATGTCGTCGTCCGTTAGTTTACGTTGTCCAATCTTCCTTTATTTTTAAATAGAAAGATTGACACAAACGAACTTATTTTAATTCACATTGCAAAAAGGCCGCCGGGGCAACAGATCAAAATAAATAAAAAAATGTACGTCCTTAAGTTGTACTCAAGCGTGTATTCAGGTTTTTTTATGTGATGGATAGTCTAGTTTTATTTAAATAGTGCTAGTTCTATGGTGTTTTTAAAATGATAACGTCAGCGTTTTTGACGCCATTCTCTTCACCATTATCATAGCCTTCCTTAATGACAGTAATTAAGACTCACTTTTCCAATGAATAACATTTATTACATTTCAAATGTACAGCGATAACAACAGAAAGCTCCGCTCCCAAGGCCCTGTAACTGCGATACTTTAAGACAAATATTTTTTCTGTATGGAAACTAGCGACCTCTTGTAGCGGATGCCCCCAAACTTATATGTTGTTAAAGTTAAGGCATTTAATTATTGTATAACTAAACACAGAAAAAAATCATACAAGTAATTATTTGTTATAGACAAATCGATTAAATTTTATCAATTTGTGGTTTCTGAAAATTTACAAAATCCTTCATTAAAAATAAAATATAGGATAGGTAATATGTTACTGCCATCTATAGGAGCAATGAGAAACTAAACGAAACGAAGCCATCTATTGGCCAACGCCCGTAAACATTTTTGTTGAGTGCTTAAGGTGATTATCTATAACTAATTTATTTGTATTATCTATGTCCGCTCCGTTCGACTGCTCGGCCGGATATATATAATAACAATAAAGTGTTCTTTCTGAATCGGCATCTTCATTTCTGAAAGTCGCATCTCTTTGATAGCTATTCTCTCATCACCTATTGTACAATTACTCTCCACGCGTCAGTATCTTCGACAGTTCCAAGTGCTTTAGGTATAGGCTATTAATTTTGATCAATGGGTAAGTGATCGAGCACACCACAGTTACGGTATTGAAGTATAAAAAACATATGATTGTAGATGTCGTTCGATTTTAATCTTTACAATCTTACTCGGCATGAAATACGACAGCTTAGTTCAGAAAACAGATTCGTCTTATGATATAAACAAAATTTATTTTAGTTTGTCTGCTTTTACTCTTGGATTTTCTCTGAGGTCCGTTCCGCCCCCGTAAGGGTGTAAGACAACCCAAGAATAATGTTTGCAATCTCAGCGATCGCACATGGATTAACCAAGTGATTTGAAGCTTACAGCGGTTTTATATTTACAACATTCAGGGAAAATTGATTGTCATATAACCATCGATGTTCCGTGTCGGGTGAAACGCTAGTAATTTCAACAAATGCTTTTATTTCATCATGTGACCGGATTTCACTAGAACCTCACAGTTTATACATTACGTTATTTTTTTTTTTTTTTATTGCCTTTGTAGGCAGACGGGCATACGGCCCACCTGATGGTGAGTGGTTACCGTCGCCCATGGACTTCAGCAATGCCAGGGGCAGAGCCAAGCCGCTGCCTATCGAAGATTATACCGTGCGTTCAATAATGTAATAAAGAAATCTATGATTATGAGCTCACGTCGTCACTGACAGGTCGTGCCAGCCGGAGTAAAACAAAATTTCAAAAATATTAGCAACTAGCCTGGCATAATAAGGCCAGTTTCCGCACTTTGAGCACTGCGTTTTTGTAGTACTGGTAACCCTCGTATAGCACGGTTGATACGTTCCCACAAAGTCCCGCGTTGTGCGACACCGTGTTAGACTAGAAGCCAGTACAAAAAGGAGAATATTTTTTCGGAATGAAACATCAAAACAATGCCTTTATGTATTTATTTTATCTATATTGTACATAAGAAAATGAGCAGTAAAGTTTCGGTTATTCACATATATGGTATGTTCATAGTCTTTAATGAAAGGTTCTAAATAATTTTAAACAAAAATTTCGTTATCGTGTTGTAGAAGCACCGTGTTGATAAGAGGGTTTTAGGGAATTTTTCTTTTCGTGTTAGAGTGCGACGGTGTTGTAAAATACCGTGTTATAGTGGTGTTACCTATAGTACTGTTCTTATAATGAAACATTGTGCCTCGATTATCTTTATCGCTAATAAAGATAATCGAGGCACAAGTAAACAAATTTACAAATGCGTCGTCTTTTTTTGAAGACTGGTACAGCGGTTATATGATAGAATCGAGATAACGACATTATGTAACTATAATAATATAAAATCTTACTGAAATTTATATTTTGATATAAAAGTCGCTGTTATTAGAGTTGACTAAATTAACAGCGATCTTACCGTCTGCACTTTCTCTTTATTTGGATCGATTAATGTATTTTTATGGAGCATGAAATCTTAAGGCCAGTAATTGTATTTACGTAGCCGATTTCCCCCTCGGATTCTCTTTAAAAGCCTTAAAGAGAATCCTCGTCGCAAAATTAACTAAGCAAATAAAGTACAATTCCTTTGAAAGAGGCAGCGCGGATCATTAAGCACTGATATTAACTTAACTAACGGATTTTATTTAAATATATACGTGTTTTAATTTCTCCGTAACATTTCAGCAAAATTATGTTTTTCTAACACTTAAATTAACATATGTGTTTTATCAATAACACCGTAAAACCCTACTAATTTAGAGTTGTACCCATAACTTTGTCCATAAGGTCCAAAACTGAAGCAGTTCGATTGATCTAGTCCCACGTACTTGTCTGACTAGATCACAATCCATAATAACTTAGTCACGCTCTAGTTTAGAACATCGTCCATAGACCTTAGGTGTGACCCAACAAAACTTTCATTTTTTTTTTTTTTTTAATAAATTATTTACTAACAATAACGCCACGTTAACTGGTCCCGTGCTAAGTTCGTAAAGAACTTGTGCTACAGGTACCAGATAACGGAAATAAATGTAAGATTTTTATTAATAATATACATCCATAACCCTGGACATTTTTATATTTATCATACAAATATCTTCCCTTGGCGGGAATCGAACCCGCGACCCCCTTCTGTAGTGACAATGTCACTTACCACTACACCAGACGGCCGTTAAATTAGAATGCAATTAGTCGTAACGGATATTAAGCTTGCATGATTGTTCACAGTTCGCCAGGAGAACGAGCGCATGATGCACGACGTCCTGCAGGCGGAAGTCTTAAATCGCACCCAGTCGTCGGGGGGATTCCGCTGACGCCGCGGTACTCGCCGCGCCCGCGGCTCGACAACGTCCGACCCGCCGCGGCTCCTCCCGAGGAACCCTCCGACCCCGACCCCGGCCCAATAGACACCAGCGTCGACCCTGGCCCCGCGCTGACTAGCACACGCGACGTGCTCACCGCCCATCGACTCCCGGTGAGCCACACAGCGCCCGATTTCACATGAACGTCATCTATGGACTTTGGCCTCTACTAGTTGCATCGGATGCTATTATGTTCGCGCGTGACGTAAACGTGCAACACTTAATGCCAATGAACCATCTCGGCGCATTGATAACTTATAATTGTGAGTTGCTGCGTATAATAAATACTCATAGATATATAATAACGATTTTATGTAATGTATAATGAAAGTGACGAGATGAAAACGTAGGTAGTTTAATGTGAAAAAGTGAAGGATAAGTATTTAAATTGAAATGTTATTTGTTATAATGTATCAGATAGTAATCAAAAGACACAATTGTCTCTAATCCAATGTAGTTTTACAAAATAGTGATATAAATGAAACAAAGGTACATGTAATGTTTGTCAAATACGGAAGGATATTTAAAAATATTGAAAACTAAGAAAAAAAAACATGAGTTATCCCTGTCAACACTATAATCTTGTAGTTATATATTATTAATCTAATAATGAATGTTGTAATTACTTAGTCTGAAAGGTAACGGGGGTTGCTAGCTGTTAGCATTTGTTATAGTATTTAATACATGCATATTTAATTATGTGAAGCCTATGGATTAATTATATCATTATCTGTCTATGTTTGTGTCATGAAGGTTTCAGTGAGCCAGATAAAAATCCAAAATGGCTTTTTTTTAATAAAAATGAGCTACTCACAAAGTATTTTTAAATTTCTAAGAGTAGTTTCATAAATTGATCTCTGAGTTTATTTCGTGAGTTTATTTCCAATCAAATATTGTCAACATTTCAACGTTACTTTATTTATTCCGTTAATTTTTAACGCTTAAAGCACTCGATACCCCTGTTTACAATAAAAAGAGCTTTCGAATCAGCGCTTAAGAATCTGTTTAAAAAAAAAAAAGAGCTTCTTGTATAGTAGTTGTTGTAGATATTATGTCTTATGCGCAACGGGAGTCAAGTAACAGATACGCAAGGTCAACATTGTTCGCCAACATTGGCTTTTTCGTTCACTGGACTTCGTACTATAAACAGTTTGGAACTTCTTAAAAATACCTCGCCGAAATTTATTTTACTTCAATAAAAAAAAACATAATTAAAAGAAAAACAAGTCTTTTGTTTATGTACAAATGTGGAATACAAAATATGACATTGGTAAAAAATATACTTCGAATGAGATTCATTTATCTAGCTGTCTTGGTTGTTATCATTGACTCCACAGCCTGTATTCGATTTTTCGGAAGGATTTCAAAACATATATGTATATTTACAAAGTATTCTCAACATTGGATTAATATCTAAATGAAACAAGAATAAGTCGAAACAAAAATAACATTTTGAATCTTTTCTCAAGATTGGGCTAAATTAAAAAAAAAATCAGAGAAAATACTGTCCATTATTAAGATAATTGAATTTTATTACTGAATTACGAACGACTTTATGATGAGATCTTAATTATAATCAACTTATTTGTTTTATGGAAGTACACGAAAATGCATTTTCTAATTATCCTATTTGTTAAAATCGAATTTAATGCAACATAATAATATTTATGATTGAAATATTTTAAATTTCTAAACTTATTTCCTTATTGCTTTAAATTAATAAGTTTCATGGTAGCCAGTGGACCACAAAGCCGGCGATGCACTTGATGTCTGCGGTAAGTTAGATTATTAAGATATTAAGCGAAGGACGTTCGACAGTTTCCCCGGAATTCCTAGCGCGTCTGCATGATGTAACTATTGTGCTTTTGTTAGAGCCACTCACGTTCATATGTTTCATTCTATTGTTTCGTCATGACCTATATGTGAAAGTTCACTTCATGTTTTTATTATCTCTCAGGTCATTTAGATTAATACAGAAGAGAACAAGCCTAGTTGAAGTATTCCGCTGGGTTTCTCGAAATTTCTCGAAAAAACTAAATCACGATTTAAGTGAGTATTGTAATAATAATGAAAATTTTCTCATCATCATAATAATCTTATTCATATTTTCAATAATTCAATAATAGTAATGATTGTTTTGTGTACTCGAACTTACAAAAAATATCTAAAACTATGCTCCCAGAGCCCCCCTTTCGTGATTGATTGCTAATGTGACAGGCGTGTAATAACAGACTAATGTATGAGTAACGTAATGACAAATGTGCCCAATGACGTAGATCGAATGAAGCTCTCTTCATTCCTTTATTTACCTACAATTTACAAATTACTTTATGCTAACTGGGAAAACTAAATAATACAAGGCACAATAGTATTGGAATGAAATAAAATATTGGAATACCTATGTATATATCGACGCTTGAAAGGCAGACGTTAATAAGCGATAATAACTGCTTTATACATAAATGATAGGCAATAACCATATTCGATGCGCAAAAAAAATATATTTCTAGGTCTATTAAAATCATTTCAATCCTACAGCTAGATTCGTTAAAATAGAATTTTTTTCAGGTATTTCAACTTTAAATTAGTCTACTGTAAAGTTCACGCATTGTCGCTTAGTCACGTTTGCCTTTCAAGCGTCGATATGTATTTATTATTCTATGCATGTGCATGTCATTACTTCCTCTACGAGTACATACATTCTGTTAAATTTAATTTGAAATATTCGAAGTATCTTCTAGGATTTTTTTAACTGATAGAGAATCTCTCAGGTATTAAGTCACCCAGTGTGTACAAATACATGAAGTGTGATAAATAAAATAAATAAATAATAAACTAGGCGAACTGTTTCCTTTTTTATTCTTATATATGTTGTTGGTGTTACAAATGCGTGCGATTTCGGGGGAAACTGTGAGTGTGTCGTTTTCCTGCTACAAACACTGTGCTCGTATGCAATATTAATAATTTAAAACTGTAAAAGCAAATACTTAAAAATGACAAAAAAAACGAAATAGCTTTTTTGAAAGTTTGAATATCTTTCAATGTACTTTATGTTTTAACTTATTACCCAAAGAAAACCTACTCCAAATTCAGGTATTGGGACCAAGCCCATCGTATTCAGTTGATGAGATGTAATTGAAACTTGACACTAAAGTACTCTGCAAAAAAAATTGTTGAGAAAATCATACGGCTCAGTGTTTGTCGCATTTGTTTTAATATAGAGGACATTGATGTTCTATATAACGAATAGCATAACATGTTAATGTGAGCATGACGTAACATTTTGTGACCCACATACAAATCAAACGAGTGACATTATTCAAATAAATTCGATCCATTTCTCCCAGTTTCAGGTAACATAATAAGACGGCGTTGAACCTATTGAATCAAATAGAGTATTTGTTTTATAAAATAGATGCAAAAATTGATAAGATTATTATTAAGATGATCGAAATGTACACGTAATCTGTGTGTGGGCAAAAATACGGTCTGCGATTAGTTACGAATTTGCGTCGACAACAAAACGTGTGTTACATTAGTTTAATGCGATCCGCATTCTCTCCCATCCTCGTGTGATACGATATATGCTACGTGTTCAAATGTTACAATTTGTTTATCCTAAGGTATCGCTGCGCTGTTATATGTACATATACATTCAGTTCTGAAATGCTGAAGATTGATACCGATAATATGAATATTGCCTATTCCGATTTCGAACAGAACTTATTGATGTAACATTAGAGTTAGCAAACCAAAATACAAAGAATTTTATAGTTGTTTGTTGTAAACGTCAGTTATGATTAAACTATTTTACAGACAAGAATGTTTAATAAAATATCTTTGTAAAATAATTCTTGTTGTTGTTATTTTCCGTTATTGAAATGTTGCTTGTTTTTTATGCGGGCTATTTAAGGTTACGTTTTGGAGTAAGTGCCGTGTGTACAAAGGTTAGCGTTTCTCTGGAAGTTCAGTACAGAAAAGGTAGGGTTTGAAAAGGTTGAGTGGAGAGTGGCATTCCTCCGGGGGCGTCCTCTGAACTATGCGACGGGCTGATGCGCGCGCTCTGTCTGAACGCCGCTTGTTACACAACAATTTGTTTTAAAAGCTTCCTCGTATTCAGGTAAGGTTAACAAAGATGATTTTATTTTAATAACAATTATGGGCCGCGACATGTTTAATGTAAAAATCTTCAAATCTGGTTACATTCATTCAACTAGTAATATGGACTTAACAACTCGTTTTTTAGTAATAGCCGTCAAAGGAGGATGGATAAAAAAAAATCAGATTTGAAGTTAGTGATTAAGCAAAAATTGCATTGCATTTATCTAAATAAATGTTAAACCAAATCGTTATTATGAACGATACTTTTGAAGATTTAAAGATTTAAGATTAACATTATAAGAATTAAGAATGAGACACGTAAAATTAAATAATAATAATAAAGCCTTTATTCAGACAAATACATTTTTTTTTACATATACAATTATTATTTCTTTTCTTTTTTTTTTGCTATGTAGTAGTGGTATTAATATTAATTAAATTTTTATTGAAGTTTTTTTTTTGTTTATTTTACCTGTATTATTATTAGTTTTTGTCTGTAAAATTAAACATCTATTTTAATTAATTAATTTAATATGTAGAAGGGTGAACGATCTCAAAGCTCATCTGGTGTAAAGTATCATCCGCAGCTGACACGTTAAATTTCGCCGCCCACCTTGGGACATAAGGTCATGGTTTCAATTGTTTTATACAAGGAATTTCTACCCTTTAATCGTCGGATGTCTGCTCAGCTGCAAAAAAATGCAGCTTAATACAGCAAATGTTCGGAAGTATGCATTCCTCCGGAGAACCTCGTGGTCACTTAGTGCTAGACTACACTACACAGTCAATACTTTTTGCAAGCGCCTTTACAAGGATACGAGTTTTTTTTATAATTATTTATTTAATATAATTTTTTTTATAATTTTTGCCACAATAATGCTCGCATAGATTTCTAAATAAAAGTTGAAATCGTGGACGAAGTTTGAGTCTTATGCCGAAATTTCTAAATTAAAATATTTCACCTGATTAATGAACATCTATCTATCTGTTTTAATTATCTGTTATTAGTATAAAGTTACTAAATTAGCAAGTATGTGTTTCGAATAGTTCATTTGACAATAGTTTGAAACTATGTAGTATGCCTCAATCAAAGAGCTCTTGTTAAAACGAAACAAACGTTTTCGACATGGATTACAACAAACCCATCTCTTCGCCAGTATAAGTAATCCCAATCTAAAAGTAGTTTTCAATTTAATTTGTTAAATCTATACATATAAATAAAATTGGAGTGTCTGTTTGTAATATTGAAATACGGTACATAGACCAAAATAACATTTTTTACAATTTTTGTCTGTCTGTCTGTTTGTTCCGGCTAATCTCTCGAACGGCTGGATCGATTTTGACGGGACTTTCACTGACAAGTAGCTGATGATATAAGGAGTAACTTAGGCTACTTTTCTTAGACTAGCTTCACCCCGCGGCGTCATCCGCGGTACGAGAATAACCGCGGGTAACATCGCGGGACTCAAATATCTCTATATATAAAAATGAATTGCTGTTCGTTAGTCTCGCTAAAACTCGAGAACGGCTGGACCGATTTGTCTAACTTTGGTCTTGAATTATTCGTGGAAGTCCAGGGAAGGTTTAGAAGGTGAAAAAATATAAAAAAGCTCGGAATTATATAAAAACAAACAATTTTGTTTTTCTTTTGATGTGTCCTCTTGATGTGTCTTTTATTTATCGATTGAGGCACTACGAAGTCTGCCGGGTCAGCTAGTCAATAATAAAATTTAATGTTTCCGAAGCGAAGCGAGGGCGGGTCGCTAGTTTCGGATATGAATTCGTTTCGTATTTACCTGTAGGGAGCATTAGGGTTTCGTTTGTTGTAAAACTTTTAGGCGCTTACTTCATTAGACTTACATATTGTTGTCGAGAACGTACTATACGTTCGTACACAACTTATCTGTTGCTGACGTTCTGAAAATTACGTTTGTGTAGCGTGATTGTTTTATAAGTTCGTCTTTGTTTCATTATGAACAACATAAAGTTAGTTTGTTACAATCATCTATTTTATATATATAAAAATTAATTGCCGTTCGTTAGTCTCGCTAAAACTCGAGAACGGCTGGACCGATTTGGCTAATTTCGGTCTTAAATTATT